AGGACGACCAGCTGAAGGTTCATGGGTCTTAAGTGCCTTTGGCTCCCTGAAGTTTAAGTGAGGATTTCCTTGCAGTGACTAGAATGTCCCTTCTGTCCCTTGTCACAAGTTTAAAAACCTCACAGCTTGTGTAATGTAACCACTTGGGGTCTGCATTTAACTTGGACTAGTGTAACTCCTTCATGCAATACACTGAAAAGCCATGCTGTCTAGTCTTGAAGTCCCTCATTTAAACAGAGGTCAAGCAGTAGGCACCTGGCAGTGTCCAGCCTGAAACACGGCAATAACGTGGTTTCCGCCACGCCCAGAGCCCCAAGATCACAGCCGGCTACGTCTGGCCAGAAGCTCCTCACCGGAGTCCCCTGCCCTGAGAACGTCAGCACCTCAACAGCCTTCGTGAAGCTGGGAGGAGGGGGTGAGGCAGCAACGGCATCTGTACCACTAGAGGGAGCCTTCGGTAGTCAAAGATCTCCAGCCTGACCAGGTGCATCTTCCTTCTAGTGATTAGATGAATTATTTTCTATATTTGAGATTTTATATCCACATGATGTAATTATAGAACTTTTAATAAAAGTAATCTGCTTTTAGGTATGATATAGTGGAAATGTTTAGATGTATTGATTTCATAGCTCTGAGCAGAAACTAACAATTAACTACACTAATTTTAAGTATGTTTAATAACAATAACTCAAATTCATTAATAAATAAATTTAGGCAAATGTGTTTTGTTCTAAAATCCATATAATGCATTTTTACATAGATATTTCAAAATCATTGTGGAAATAAACACAAACATACGTATTCACAGAAAATGCCATCATGGCTTTAATATCAAACAAATTTGACAGAGTTCACAGAAAGAGCATAAAGTGCGAAAGCTCCATTTCAAAAGGCCTTAAATTACTCCCAAAGCAATGGGGATTAAATGCTACCACACCCTGCATAAAGTATAAAGTATAGAAGGAATGTATCTGAAAATACTATATTTGCTCTAATTACATATTACTGTTATAAAATACTCTTAAATCCGGTTTAACATACAAAGATACAATTCAAACAATTAGTCCCTTAGAGTAGGAGGCCATTTTTTTTAAAGTCCATAGGAGAATGATGTCTATAAAATCCACTGGGAATCCCCACGTGGCCCAAGAGAAGTCTCGGACCGGCCGGAAGGCAGCACCCATGCAAAGAGCTGGTTATGCATGAGAGGTTCCAAGTCCATTTGGGGAAAAGAAGCTCTGATCAGGGCTCTGGGTCGGCAGGCTTCAGCCCTTACCTGTCCCTCAGAGGTGGTTCCAGGTCAACCCTGAGGGATGAAGAACCAGGGATGGCTCAGATCCCAGTCCTGGAGCCTCTAAGATGGTGCTGGCTCACACAAGCATGATGGGCTGGTGAGAGACGGTTTTACACACCTGCGAAATCCAATCGACAGAACAGGTGGTGGTATTTCACAAAGCCTGTGTTTGACGACCATCAAGCTTAGTTACTCTTCAGAGGGACAGAGTTCACCCAAATGTAGCTCGTTACCAAATAGATTCAGATACCTGCTCCCCACGCACCTTAAATGTGTTCACTGAAGTACTTGTTTCATAATAATATACTCATAAAGGGAAAAACAGATTTCTTTTTCTCAAAATCAAACAGTATTAAACAAGAATCATTGACTAACCATTGTGGTAACATTGTTTTTTAATATGCTAAATCCAGTTCCTTCTAGATAATTGATTTTTCGGCAAATTCTAACCAGCACAAAAATCTGATAGCCACGCTGAGCAACTGCTGCGACCTAACTCCTACATGTCCAACCTCCACTTCCCGGCCTTCACAGGGTGAGGAAAAAGATTCTCAATTGCACATTCATCAATGAAATAAGCCCCTTACTTATTTTAAATTGGAAAACATCAAAACCTGTAGAGCATATATTTAACAACTATTTCCTATTACTCATCAGTCCAAGTGCAGAAGCATGTCAGAAAGTAGATTTCAGTCCATGATTTCTTAGGGCCCGTTCACGTCAGGCCTGATTAACAGGGAAGACTCAGTAGTTGGTCTCAGAATCCAGTGATGAGCTCTCAAGTGTCCAGCTAACTCGAGTGTACTTCAGAACCTGCTCTTCATGAAAAATACACAATTGATACTTATATTCCATTCAAACTACAGGATAAACTGTCAGGTCTAAAAGACATCTATTTACCACTATAGTAAGAAAAAAAAGAAAGGAAAAAAAAAAAGATGAGAAGGAAAATGGTTGTCCTTGAGCTATAGAAAAAGATTTCTTTGACTTTTTTGTAGTATCCCAATTTTCTTTAAAGAGCATGTAGTGCTATCAAAGCATTATACATATATATGTAACTATAAATATGAGTGATGCCATCAACCTAGCTTAAATAAGATGAGTATATATATCCCTACTCTCTTGATTTTACTATCCACGTTGGCAAGCTATAGTGATTGCTATTCAAAAGAAGAGTTAATATACCCCATTCCACACTTCTTTCTCCGCCCTCATTTCATTAAAACTAATCTCTAGTAAGGCATTGTGTTCTTCATATCAAAAGCATTCCTCTGACATCTGAACTTAGTCATGTGTCCTGTGGTAGGGGCATGGAAATAGCCCTGAGAGTCAGGGCACTTTCTTCCTTACTTCTAGCAGTCACATTTTATTCCTATTTTCAAAGGACACCCAGAAACTTCCAGAAGGTCAAAGTCTTGGGAGCTGAAGATAGTGTTCCCCAGGGAACAAGCCCTTCATCTGATAGGGGTAAATGGTCCACTCTTGACTGAGGAACTCTCAAGACAGAAATTACACCTCACACATACAAAAAGCATTTCCTACTCTCCTCTCTACACTTTCAGATAAGATAGCTGGGCTTAAAACACATCAAATCCCTTACAGAATGGATGAAACCAGAATCTATGCCTGCTAAGTCAACCTGAAGTCAGGATAGTCTGATATTTCCCTTTTAAAAATTCTAGACTTCAGCCCTGGCCAGTTTGGCTCAGCGGTTAGAGCATCGGCCTGCGGTCCAGAGAGACCCGGGTTCGGTTCCCGCTAAGGGCACGTACCTCGGTTGCAGTTTGTCCCCAGCCCTGGTTGGGTAGCGTGGGGGGCAGCCTCTCAATGTATCCCTTTCACGTTGATGTTTCTCTCTCTCTCTCTCTCTCTCTCTCTCTCTCTCTCTCTCTCTCTCTCTCTCTCTCCTCCCCTCCCTCTCTCCCACTCTATCTGAACAAAAAATGTCCTCGGGTGAGAATAAAAAAATAAAAAAAATTCTAGACTTCAAACCCAAAGGACTTAGCAGTTTTCAAATTCTGTTTCATGAACCACCTAGGTCTCACAGACATGTATTAGAGGTTCTTGAAATACTTAATTCAAATATCATTTATCAAATATCAAATAATATTTTTAAAATATTTTTTACACTATAACAACATGTGTTCTCACTCAGTATCAGATTTTTCTACCTTGAAAACCACCAAATGGTTAATTTGCATTTTCACTGCCTGCTGTATTATTAAGGAAATTCTATACATTTAACCTTAAAATAAATGTAAGTGAATTAAAACCTATTTCACACATTAGGGTTCCATAAAGATTTCTTACTGCAAACAGGGTTCTGTTGCTAAAATAATTTGAAAATCACAGAAGTGGGATGAAGTCATTCATTTTTAAACTCTGAATTCTGTTCTTTAATGATGTCTTCACCTTAGATCCTATGTGATCTAAGCCAGTGCAAGAGTTTCTGGACATGCCAAAAACTGCTGCTGCCCAACTCTTAGCTACTTAGAACAGCCCCGCGATTCCTTTCCACACAAGGACAGCCTGTTCCTCCTCCCACTGCAAAGCAGGAAGTGCCTGAGTTCAAGTGAGCATCCCTGAGGTCGTGAATTCCCACCTCACACCTTCAGGGGAGTTTGGAGTCTTCCATTCATCCCAACAAGGAGGAGATTTAGCTGTAGCCAGCGTTACTTTAGGCGAGAAAAACTCAGAAGCAACAGATTGGTCCTGCTGTCCCAGCCAAGGACCCAAGCAGCCAGTGCGTCCTTACTGCCAGCACTTAAAAAAAAGCGACCAAATGCTGGGAGAAGCTACAGGAAGCCCGTCACACTGCGAGAGCACGGAGTGTAACTCCCACAGCAAAAAAATCAGAGAAAAGACGGGGGAGATTCTTGAGGATCATTTCCAGGCAGCATACAGGTTTCCAGTGATAACACGTTTCCCAAACTTCGTGCTTGCTCCCAATTTTGAACCAGGCTCCCGTCATCGCGATTGTCACAGCCCCTTGGCCATGTTGCGGAGGTCGGGCAGTGAGGAAGGGGCCTGTGAATGTCTGAGGCTGGGGTGGGGGACAATGTCACCATCTTAAAACGTTGTCATCTTCGACAATGGCTTAAATGGAGCGGAGAGTCGTTTTTGGCATAGAGGGCTTTTCTCGTTAGCTTTACCCTCGTCTGAAGTCAAGTCTCCATCTGTCGGCAGAGGTAGAAGTGAACGGATCCACAAATGCGTGTATAGCCCTGGTGCCTGAGAGCTGTGCGTGGGAAACTAGCTTCCTTACCCACGAGCCTCGCGTGTGATTCATTTGGTTGGTTTTTGTTTTAAGATGGTTTTCGCAAATGAAAACCTGGCATCTTTCCATCAGACCGTGGGGGGCGCTGTGCGTCGCAGGCGCTTTCGGTCAACTGGAACCGCGGCGGACAGACCCGCGGGAAGGAGGCACCGGGCAGGGGCCCCCTCTGCCACCGAGCGCAGCCCCTGGAAGGGGGCCCCGGGCAGGGGCGCAGCCCCACGGGAAGGAGGCCCCCTGGGTAGCACAGCCACGGGAAGGGGGCCCCGGGCGGAGCGCAGACCCGGGAAGGTGGCACCGGGCAGGGGCGCAGCCCCGCGGGAAGGTGGCACCGGGCAGGGGCAAGGCCCGCGGGAAGGAGGCACCAGGCAGGGGCCCCCTTCGCCACGGGGCGCAGCCCTCGGGCCGCCTCTCACAGCGGCGCTGAGAACACACCCAGAGCCTCAGCCTTCTGCTTCCACCTCCCGGACAGTGGAGTCCCGGTGGTCCAGACACACCAGTGAGAGCCCAAGGGAACAAAATTTTTTAAAAATAGACCCACCCCCCACTCTGAGAACGGGGAGGACACCTACGGGAACAGCCCGCCACCACCACCCCATCACGTGGTCTTGACCGGAGATTTCTTGTGGGCGCACAGGAGGGACACGTAGGGGACACCGATGAAGGCCCATTTCTCGCTGGGCCAGAACCTGATGACAGGGCCTTGCTCAGGGATCTCGGAGGCGGCGTCGAAGTAGGCGAAGCACACGCAGCCCAGGTAGGCCGCCAGGCAGATGAGCACGTGCCTGCGGAGGGAGACGGAGGGGAGACAGGGGTGAGACCGGCCCTGCAGCTGGCGGCTGCCCTCGGCCCAGCCCGCCCTTTCCGGCTGTAGTGAGGCTGTAATGACCACCGGGGCCTCTTCTCATTAGAAAGGGGTGAAGGGGGCCAATAATCCCCAGGATACCAGGAGAATGATAAATCTGGAGCAAACAGAGCCTGTTTTCAAATGTCCCAAAATGTTCCGGCTTGATGACAGGAACGTGAAAATGCCTTTGGGGTTCAACAAAGAAGGCTGAGACTCAAGGACTTCAAACAGGCGCTAAGAGGATGGAATTATAAAGTACCCACACTGTGAAGTGTACCCACACTGTGAAGTGTTCGTCGGACACACAAAAGAAATGAAGATAATATATAGGCATTGGTAAGGAAAGTTGCCCATGACCTAGCATTTGGTTTAAAGAACAAAAAGGATCAGTTTGCATCATGTATAGAATGATGCTATTTTTGTTCTTAAAAAGCAGAATAGATAGATACATAGACAGATGGATAAAATCAGGAAGGATATAGCCCAGCCACTAACTGTTACCTCTCTTTGGTAGATGGAGTTATGATAGCTTTTCTTTATTTCTGTTTAAATTTGTTGTAAAATTAAAAACAAATATGTCATTTTATAACTGGGACAAAAAAGATGGTTCAATTTTGACAAAGCAGAGAGTACACCAAATTTAGAAACCAATTAAGTTTAAGCCAGAATTATTACCGTGTAATCTTTGAGTTTTACTTAAATTGCTAGAGTGCCCAGGTAACTTGGATTGACAATGTACTAGATCTTGAATGAGGTCATATTCACACGGGTGGATACGTTTATCAAAACTCATCAACGTATACACTTAGATCTGTGCATTTTACATCGTTTTATTTTTAAGGGGAGAGAGGGAACACAGTCCCCACTTCCACAAAGTGTCCCTACTACCACAAATTATACAGTAGAGTTTCCCACATTTGGGGAAATTGCAGGGGTCAGCACACCTGGAGTGCAATGGAGAAGCTTCACCCTGGGAAAAGCATCTTTATGATCATGTTATCCCCCTGCTGGTAAGTATAAATCTGTGCATTTTATTATCTGTAAAGTATAATTCAACAACTATATAAGAATGTATAAATTCACTACTGTAAATCAAGGTTGAACCTAAGAAATATCAGGCTGGCATCCCAATTTGACCTGTTTTATTTTATTTTGCCTTTTGCAAAAAGTCCTGTACATCCCCATTCCTTATTTATTTATGTATTTTCAATTGCAGTTGACATGCAGAATCGAAGTCCCCAAGCCTTACACTGAGAGCAGATTGGGTCTTGTGGTAGAAATATACAAGGTCATGTGTTCAAGGAAATGTAAGCAAATTCTTTCAAATCATACAGTTTTTGGCATCTCCTGATAGAAATCAAGCTGCACCTGAATCTAGAGCTAATCAAGTTTTTTCAGCTCATTACCAAGAGAATTCCCTTCTGGATGCTCTCAATTTGCAAGGGACATTCTACACTTGGTCCTTGTTGTTTGCAATTAAACGTCCCAAAGGACAGCGAGGGAAAGATGACTCTGGGTTTGGAGCTGAAGTGTTTCCTAGGAAAGAAGCTACTCAGTTTCCTCCTGAGCTTTCTGCATGCAGGCTTCTGCACATTTCGTAACCTGCTTCTTTGTTTTATCTAACAGTGTATAGTGAGCATTCCAGGGATAGCTGCTCCAATTCCCTCTTATCGAACTCCTAGGCTGGTTTTATATAACCAGCTGAATTCACTTTACTTCTCTGGGCCTCTGTCTCCACCTGTAAAATGAATGGGTGAAACTGTCCCCAGATGACCTGGGAGGCCCATGCCTTCACCTGGTCATTAAACCCAAAAGGGGACATGGGTTAACAAAAATGTACTATATCTTGAAAGAGGTCATATTTACCTCATTGTAGTGCCTGGTTGGACGTCCCTGACCTGGTCCCCACATCTGTCCCAAGCCTTCCCCACCCTAGAGATCTACCCAGCGCTCAAGTGACAGATTCTGTTTTTAAGCTCCATTATGCTTTAATAATGGAGCTACAGGTCAGAGATCTGGACTTGAAGCATAAACAATTAGGTCTTTTTGTTCTGGCTAAGTCAGCACCCCGGAGCCCATTCTGCTTTTGACAATAGTTTCTGTTGCTCCTGAAAGGTCTGACAATGTCTGAGAGAGGGGCCCTCGGGCTCTGCTCTGTCCCCTGGGCAAGCCTGTGCACCTTAAAGAGAGAACGCACCCTAAGGAAAGTGCAGACCCCCATCCCGCAGCCCCCCCCCCAATGGCAGGGGCTTACCACACACAGTGCAGGTAGGGGAAGTGGAATGACGACAGCAGCTCACAGAAGGCTCGGTCACTGATCCAGCAGAAGAGGGCGAGCGTCCACCAAAGGCCCGAGAAGAGGCCCAGCTTAAATACACGCACGTTGTCACACCTGCATGGGATCCAGAGAGCCCCTGGCCATCAGTCCTGGTTTCCACCATCTCACCGGCCACTCGTCATGTTCCTCACATCACCCAGCCCCCTGGCACTGGGATTACTACCCCCCAGCTCGTGGATGTGAATCCTCTATGTACACACGTGACTCGGAGCCATGCCTCTCAGCCAGGCCCTCCCGACCTTCCTGACATGTCACCCAATGTCTAACATAGGTCTACATTTAACATGTCCACAATGAACCCCTGACCTTTCCCCCACCCTAAACCTGTTCTACCCCAGCCCTCTCAGGAAAAAGTCATTCCATGCTTTCTGAAGCTCAGGTCAAATATAAAGGCAATTTATTATACACTCTAAAAGACAAAATAAACAGGCCTCTAGCCTTGCCGTTTTATTTTATTTTTTTTTTTTTTTATTTTTTATCCTCACCCGAGGACATTTTTCTATTTTTTGTTCAGATAGAGTGGGGGGTGGGGGGAGAGGGAGAGAGAGAGAGAAACACCGATGTGAAAGGGACACATCGAGTGGCTGCCACCCGCACGACCAACCAGGGCTGGGGACAAACTGCAACCGAGGTACATGCCCTTAGCGGGAACCGAACCCGGGTCTCTCTGGACCACAGGCCGACGCTCTAACCGCTGAGCCAAACCGGCCAGGGCTAGCCTTGCCGTTTTAAAAGATAAAATGAAAACTGATTTTTTAAAAATATCAACAAATATATAGACAATTAGTCTGGTACCGATCAGTGTCCACTCAATTTAAATAAACCCAGGAAGTCTGGCCTAAGGAACACCAGCACAGAGCGGGAGATGCAGTGTGTGTGCTGAGTGGAAAAAAGAGGTGGACCGTCACGTGGGGGTGGGCGGGGCGCACACCTGTGATGGGGGGGTGGGGGGTACCCTGCAGAGTCAGGGCTGCAGGGCAGCCTGGTACTGTCCCTTCCTCTGTTGGTCAAGGGGCAGACGCTGCTATATGCTGCTGACCAGGCTCATTGGTACTTGGGGCTAATCCAAACCTGACCTCCATTAGGTTTTATTCCCACTTTTCAGGGCTTGTATCAAAGTGTCAATGTGAGATCAAGTGGAAAAGCAGGACCCTATTTTAGGATAGAAAAATCTGAGAGGATGTCTACCATTTCTTCTCCTCTTGACCCTTTGTTACATTCTCAAAGTTTTTCTTAACAATCAACTGACTCCTATGATCAGGGAAAAAAAAAAATGCCTGTTTTAAAATATTTTAGATGTAGCTGAGTCACTTGGTAATGTGACACCACCACAAATTTCAGTAAATGTCAGATCATGACCCCAAGTCATAATAAATTTTATTATGTGGTCTGAGAGCAGGCTCAGAAAGGACAATGAGAATATGAAAATACTGGAAACAAGCTCTAGGAATGAGGCTAAGGAGAAAGAGAAGGCAGAAAGTGTCCCTCCCCTACGTCCTCTGAGCAGAGGGAAGATCGATGAGAAACATTTAGCGGACACGTGACAGATCGGTGCTGATGACAAGCGGAGAAGATCCTGGCAGGAAACGGAAAGAGCGGCGGGGCATCCTGTTGGCTGGGAACATTGTGGACATGTTGATACAAGCCAACCACCACCTTTTCTGTCCTTGCTGGGACTCGGATGGGAACGGGGACATGGCAGTGAACACGGGGACAGCGCCCCTGCCCACGTGGAGGCTGTGTCCAGCAGACCAGTCAGGTATGGATCAAAACAACAGCACCAGTACTACTCAAAGACAACCAGGATGAGCGCCACACGGAGACGTCCGGGTACTGTGAGAGCATGCGAACAGCTGAGCCCAAACCTGAAGGGTGAGCAGACAGGAACAAAGCAGGAGGTCAGAAAGAAGGGACAGCATGAACACGGGCCTGGGGCTGGAGGAGCCAGGCCACCGTGGGGACATGGGAGGTCAGAATGGCTGGAAGAGAGAATATAAGGGGGAGCTTGGTGTGGGAAAGATCAGCAGGCAGGGGCCATGTTGAGGATTTGGAACTTTGTTGAAATTTTAATGTCAACTAATAGAAAAATGACTGTGAGCAGGTGAGTTGCTCAGGGAAGGAAGAGAAAGCCAGGCTTCTGGCTTGAGCAACTAGGTAAATGGTGCTCAATTTACCACGGCTAGAAATACTAAGAGAACCAGAACTGCAAATGGCGGATCGGGAATCTAGTTTTGGACAAGTTGAATTTGAGATGCCTGTGATACATGGGCTTGGAGAGGTCCGGTCAGCAGCTAGGAAGCAGGAGGAAGGACTGAGTGGGAGACGTAAATCTGGGAGTCACTCATACATGGACAGTGATAACACCCTGAGAGTGGATGAGATATTGTGGGGGGCTATAGAGGGAGAAGAGCAGAGGTGACATTGTACCTTAAGAGATCCGTACATGCAAAGGTGCATAGAAAAGAAGAAGCGTACACAAGAGGCTAAAAAGAAGCTGACATCCTAGGAGCCACGGGAAAGAACAGTTGAAGGATGAGGGGATGACTTGTGCGAACAGCTGAAAGAACAACACACAAGACCCAAGAGGCTGAAAAATTGTCATTGAGTTGACAACCAAGAAGGGTTTGGGTACTGATGTGGGGGCAGAGGCCAGACAGGAGTGGGTTGAATAGTAAATGAGAAGTGAGGGCTGGAGACAACTTTAACTTAGAAGTTTGGCTGTGACATACAAGAGAGAGAAAGGGTGCTGGTTGGAGACAGACATGGACTGAGTCCAGGTGAAGTGTTAAGACAGGAAACACAAACCTTTTTATTTTTATTTATTTATTTATTTTATTTATTTATTTTTTTATCCTCACCCGAGGACATTTTTCCATTTTTTGTACAGACAGAGTGGGAGGGAGAGAGAGGAAGAGAGAGAGAGGGAAACATCGATGTGAAAGGGACACATCGAGTGGCTGCCACCCGCACGACCAACCAGGGCCGGGGACAAACTGCAACCAAGGTACATGCCCTTAACGGGAACCGAACCCGGGTCTCTCCGGACCGCAGGTGGACACTCTAACTGCTGAGCCAAACCGGCCAGGGCGGAAAGACAAACCTTTTTAAAGGCTAATGGAAAGGACCCTTCAGAGAGGAAGAGATGACACATTAGACAATTGACAGGAGTAAAGAAGACAAAGGAGAATGAAGAGAATAATCAACAGATAGAAAGACTGACCTTATATAGGAGGAGTATTTCCCATGATGCTGCATTTGCTAATGCCATCATGAAGACCAAATTAGCTATAGTGGTGACTAGCTTTCCAGGGACAAAGATTTTAAGCATGGGACAGAAATTATGTCCTTAATAATTACTTACAAGGATTCGAATATTGGGAAAATATGCCTCCCTGCTTAAAGATTACAATTTTGAAATAGAATTTATTTAAACTATAAAGTAATCTGCTCTAACCTCTTGTCTTCCCCTCATTTCCTCTTTTTAGGTATTATGAATTTAAAATATTTTCTGCCCTGGCAGGTGTGGCTCAGTTGCTTGATTGTCCTCCTGTGCACCAAACAGTTGCTGGTTCAGGTCCTAGTCAGGGCACATGCCCAGGTTGCAGACTCAACCACTGGTAGGGGGCATGCAGAAAGCAGCCGATCAATGTTTAACTCTCACATCAGTGTTTCTCTCTCTCTCTCTCTCTCCCCTTTCTCTCTCTCTAAAAAATCAATTTTAAAAATCTTTAAAAAAAATAAAATTAAATAAAATATATCTTCCCCTTCCTTAAGCTATTTTTAATAAAATTATCAGATAAAATATTATTAGACTCAAGAGTTAACATGAAACTGATTGCAGAGAATTCTCAGGAAACATAGTCCAGAATATTCCCCTCACTTCAGACCGAACATAAGCCAACACCACTGGAGTCACTATTACAAACCCATTTCAGATGTCTTTATCAGCTATTTATTTGTGTTTCCCAAATAGCTTCAAGATGTTAGTGCTCTGACATAGGTCTCTTAATTCCCCAGTCCTTAAAGGCTCCTCAAAGAAATCAAGACAAGATCTGACAGTGTCCCTCCTTGGCTAGCCAGCTGCTTAAATACCTCTTCAACCACCTCTGACCCTGCCTGGTATTACTGACAACCCCCAGAGGGAGAGCAAAGGAAAGAAATTACATACATCTCCTCTCAAAACAAGGACTGAGAGAAAGCTGACTAAACACATTACATACAACTTTCACGAAAAGGGACAGATATAAGACTTCGGCTAAGACACTCCATGTCCATAACACTGAGAGAATCACGCATTTCTAAATGTGAACACACACACACAACACAAAAGAAGCATTTTCTAAAAGTATTAAAATAATGCCATAGTCAGAGCTATATTATTTGGGGCTAGAAGACAATTGTGTACATACAAGAGCTAAGTAAGCTAAAATGTTTCTGGATTATCAACCTGAACTCCGAGTATACAACGTCCCAAAGGAAAATACTTATGCACGAGCAAAGGCTTTGCCTGATAGGTTTTAATAAGAAACTATGTCTCAGAGAAAGTGTCAACATTACCTTGTATATAGAAATTCATTTATTTTTCCTTCTCTGTGAATGCAACAGCCTCATTAGCACTTTTCTTCTTATTCTTGTCATGTGAACAAAACTATTCTCCTTTCTACAGAGCTCACTCATTCTAGGCCGCTTGGTGTAGGAGCACACCAGGTATTTGAGATGCTCCTGCTACGCTGGCTCTGAGCCTTAGGGTGTATTGCACCCATGAAACAGCTCCTCCCCTCTCTCTGAAAATGAGACCAAGCCTATGTTCAATCCAACAGTCAGAAACTAACTCTTCACCAAGAGTCAAACTCCTCCACACTCGGGGATAGTAAAGGAACCAGGAGCTGGTGTGCCCTAGCACAGGGACAATCTAAGGGGCAGGCAGGGACAACTGCACCCACCTCTTTAGCTCTGCGATGAGCAGTGCAGTGCAGGGAACCCCCAGAGTCATCAGAGAGATGTTGTTGATGGCGGGCTTGACAAACGCCAGGCACGTTGTCACTGCAGACAGGACGCAGACCACCGCCTTGAATCTGCCCCTGAATGGGTGAAAGCAAACCAAATCCATTAGCGAAGGAGGTCTTGTTTGTCAAACGTGGACAAGGTGCAAGCCCTGCTGGTGGGAGTGGAGGCTGAAAAGAAAATATGCACTAACTACCCAGAGTCTAAAAACCATCCACACTCACGGGCTCAGTAATTCCACTTCCGAGAAATATCTGTAGGAAAAAATCACAAATGTCCTAAATATTTAGCCATGAGAACGAGCAAATTAGAATCAACTAAGTCCCTGAGGGTGAGATATGGATACTTGTTTTCTTAGTGTTACTTTTCTGTATTCTTTTCACATGTTTTGCAGCAGGATTTGCAAACGTTTGTGGAAAGGCTCAGACAGTGAATGTTTCGGGTTGTGGGGTCATGAGCTCTCCGCAGCGACGCCTTCACTCGGCCTCTGTCGGCAGTGAGTGCGCGTGCGCACCAGCAGAACTTCATCCGCAAGGACAGGCAGTGGACCAATTTGGCCCACAGAACAGAGTTTATCAAACCCTGTTCCACAGGCTTCCTGGTTTAAAAGAAAAAATATCACCCTGGCTGGTGTGGCTCATTTGTTTGGGGGTCATCCTGGGCACCGAAAGGTTCCCCATCAGCGCACCTGCCAAGGTGGCAGGCTAGATCCCTGGTGGGGGGCACACAGGAGGGAGCCAATCCATGCTTTGCTCTCACATCAATGTTTTTCTCTCTCTCTCTAAAAATCAATAATATATATATATAAGAAAAAGAAAGACACATCAAAATTACAACCAAACTACAGAACAACCATCATTCAAAACGGCCTGAAATCGAGCTGAATGGAAGTCCCACAACTACAAAATTAAAGCAGCAGCCACATGGAGACTGGTAGGAGGGGTGGAGGCGGGCAGGCTGGTCCCACACTCATGTGTGGCAGATAAAAATCAGGAGGGATGCCTCGGCTGGGAAGGTCCTCTCTGAAGAGAGGGGTCCCCCTCCCATACCAGGCCACAAGTTCAGGGTTTTAATGCCAGGAAGAGAGGTTCCCATAACTTCTGGCTGTAAAACCAGCGGGAACTGAGGCTGAGGGAGGCTGAGGCTGCTAGAGCCCCAGGCAGCTCCTCTTAAAGGGCCCGTGCACAAACTTACTCGGACTTGCTCCCTTTGAGCTCCAGCATCGGGGAGGCAGCTCTACAGGTACCAGAGACATACGGTGAAGAACTGAGCTATTTGACATTGGGACGAGGGCTGGAGAGGCAGCTTTCTCCTAGACAGACGTGCTGGTGGAGGCCGGAAGCTCTTGTTCCTTTGGTGAACCCTTTCCCCACAGGGTGGGTAGACAGACAGCCGTCATATCTGGGACCCCAGCAACCTAGCTCAGATTGTTTACCCCACTCTGGTGATTCCCTGAGGCCCTGCCCCACCCAATTTTTGGGCCCACCCAAGCTGTTCCCAGTGGCTTTACCTTAGGAATGGCCTGTCTTGGATCCTGCTTCAGATTTTCCTAAATTCTCTCAAACAAGGGCATCTGGTCTCAGTGAGCCCCATACTTCTTGTTAAGTGGCCCCAGGCCTGGCACTAGAAGCAGCCAGCTATGGTTCACAACTTGGCTTTGCCTGGGCACCTCCAAGCCCAGCACGAGAAGCAGCCATTGGCAGACCGCTTTGTAGCTTATGCCTGGTGGCCTTGGGTAGAACACAGGCAGTGGCTGACCTTGCCTCAGAGCTAGCACACCCAGTGGACAGCTTCAGAACACTGCGAAGCACCACCACCCAACCACCTCCACAAGTGTCACACTCAAGGAATGGACTCAGTGGGTACCAGAACCCTGCTGAAGTCAGTCTTGCTCTGTGTGGTGGGCCCTGCACAGCTGATCATCCAAGGTAGTCAGAGGTCAGTGGATAGTGGGCACAGCCAGTCCTTGCAGCTGATCAGCCTGAGTAAAACCCTCTCATTGACGTACCAACAGCCATCAAAACTCAATTACAACAGAAGGCTGTACAGTCCAAATCAGGGTGCACCACAAGGGCCCAGCTGAGAGACCAGGGAGGTTGTGCCACTGGACCCTACAGGACACCTACTACAATAGGCCATCCTAGGAAGCCCAGGAGACATAGCAACTCTACCTAATACATAGAAACAAACACAGGGAAGCAGCCAAAATGAGGAGACAAAGAAACAGGTCCCAAATGAAAGAACAGAACAAAACTCCAGGAAAAGAACTAAATGAAATGGAGATAAGCAATCTAGCAGATGCCGAGTTCAAAACACTGCTTATTAGGATGCTCAATGAACTTAGTGAGAACTTCAGTGAACTTAGTGAGGGCCTCAAAAACATAAAAAAGACCAGTCAGAAATAAAGGAGGTACTAACTGAAATAAAGAATAATTTACAGAGATTCAATAGTAGAGTGGGTGAACCCAAGAAGCAAACCATTGATTTGGAATATAAGGAAGCAAAAAACACCCAATCAGAACAGCAAAAAGAAAAAAGAATCCAAAAAAATAAAATAAAATAGTGTAAGGAGCCTCTGGGACAACTTCAAGTGTGCCAACATTCACATCATGGGGGTGCCAGAAGGAGAAGAGAGAGAACAAGAATTTGAAAAACTATTTGAAACAATAATGACAGAAAACTTCCCTAACTTGGTGAAGGAAACAGACATACAAGTCTAGAAAGCACAGAGAGTTGCAAGCAAGATGAACCCCAAGAGGCCCACACCAAGACACATCATTATCAAAATGCAAAAGGTTAAAGACAAAGAGAGAATCTTAAAAGCAGCAAGAAAAAGCAGTTAGTTAGCCCTGGCCAGTTTGGCTCAGCGGTTAGAGCGTTGGCCTGCGGTCCTGAGAGACCCGGGTTCGGTTCCCGCTAAGGACGCGTACCTCGGTTGCAGTTTGTCCCCGGCACTGGTCGGTCGTGCGGGTGGCAGCCACTCGATGTGTTCCTTCCACATCGATGTTTCTCTCTCTCTCTGTTCCTCTCTCTCCCTCCCACTCTGCCTGAACAAAAAAATGGGCAAATGTCCTCGGGTGAGGATAAAAAAAAAAAAAAAAGCAGTTAGTTACCTATAAGGGAGCTCTCATAAGACTGTCAGCTGATTTCTCAAAAGAAACTTTGCAGGCTAGAAGGGAGCAGCAAGAAATATTCAGAGTGATGAAAAGCAACAACCTACAACCAAGATTACAACCTATCCTGCAAAGTTATCATTTAGAATTGATGGCCATATAAAGAGTTTCCCAGAAAAGAAAAAGCTAAGGGAGTTCATCACCACCAAACCAGTATTATATGAAATGTTGAAGGGTCTTCTTGAAGAAAAAGATCAAAAATATGAACAAACAAAATGGCAATAAATACATATCTATCGACAAATGAATCTGCAAACAAAATGAACAAGCAGAACAGAAACATTCTCATAGATACAGAGAATTTTTTGTTGTTTGCCAGATGGGAGCAGGGTTGGGGGGATGGGTGAAAAAGGTGAAGGGATTAAGAAGTACAAATTGGTTGTTAGACTGACAAACCTCAAAGGAAAGGGGGGTAGGGAGATGGGAAGAAACCAAAGAACTTATATGCATATATGCATAACCAATGGACACAGACAACAGTGTGGGGAAAGGCAGAAGGGGGTCGGGAGCAGGAAGGAGGGGGTCAATAGGGGAAAAAGGAGGAACATCTGTAATACAGTCAACAATAAAGATAAGTTAAAAAAAAAACAGCAACTTCATATGTCTAATATTAATACAAAGTAAAACAACATTAAGGTTCTAAAAGAAAGAAAAGAAAAAACATCCTGTTTCTAGCACACAAAAGTGAGTCTGAAAACATTCTAATAGTGTCTGTGTCTACTGACAACCCACAGTCTAGCATGCACTGGGATTCTGTGTTGACAGGTTTTTGACAGGACAAATCTTAGAAGAACAGCTGATACCACCCTGCCGATCTCGAGTGGAGGTGGCTTCCGTAGAAAGAGCCAGAAACAGCGACGTGATCCTGAGCACGCTCCTGCTTCTCTCCCTGGGACTCCATTTCCTTATCTATAAAGTCAAAAGTCTGAACTAGATTATCACTAAGGCCGCATCTATGACTAAAATTTAAGAGCTCGCGATTTTCCTGAAGTTTCTGTTATGAGCACAATTTACTTTGGCCAAGAGATCTGGAACAGGTCACAGTTAGGAAACTAATTTGAATGAAATTCCATCATAAAAAAATCAAAGTACGTTGAAACCTTAAAAATACAAATGTATCTCTTAGAGGAAAGCCATTTATCATCAAGGCACAGGAAATCATTGATCAAGCTGCCAACTTTCCGAGTGGAAGGAACAGGAATTGTATCCCTGAACTTTGACCAGACGGAAAAAATATATATGGGAAAGGATCCAGGCAGCAAACCCCAGGGGAACCGTGTTTTTCTCCTGGCCTTGGCTGGCATCCTCCAGCTACCAGATGAAGGGCTGCCTGCTCTCCCACCCCCAACATGTGCCTAACCCTTGGAGACCCACAATAAATCTCTCACTGGGCCTAAGGTTCTGTGACATGCGCCAAGGCTTTGGGCCTTTTTAGATTGGATAAACACATAATTGAAAACTTCCAAATTATATCCTGTTCCTGTGTCCAGTGGTTTAGGATTCAGACACAGGTTAGAGAGAGCCACTGTGATTCGAAGCACAGGCGTTCCAGTGTGCCACGTGTGTGTTCACATTGTGCCCCCTCGCTCAGTAGCCGTGGGATCTGTGGCAAGTCACTGGACCCTCCCCAAGCTTCAGGGGAGGTTAAGACACCTGCCTTATAGTGTTCTTGTAGGCATTAGAACACTTCATACAGTGCCTGGTACATGGTGTGTGCTAATAAAATCCACTGTTACTAGTATCATTACCATCGTTTGAGAAGTAAATGCTATTTAAAATATTATTATTAATAATAGCATACTCTCAGGGAAAATCTAACTGAGCTGGTGCTGCAGTCAGCAAAGACTCTATATAGCATTGCCAGAGTTCAACGGCAGCAAGCTTGACAAAACATGCCTTCTTTAAAGAGAACATGGGCAGACACCTCTCCCATTGGTCCAGTGGGTGTGGAGGAATGTGCTTCGGGAAGGCAGCTTAGTCAGGGAGGACGTCCTGTGAAAGTGTGATTTTGCAACCAGCAGAAGCCAGGAGAAATCACATGGCCAGCCCAGCTGACCCGAGTCAACAGAGGCCCTGGGTACAAGAGAGCAAGAAATGTCCAGCAGATTGGACTAACGGAAATGTTCTAACAGAAAATAAAAGGTCTCTTTCTCATATAAAATAAGGGAGACATTTGACTTTCTGTCCCTAATGTTACGTAAATTCTCCAAGCATATTAGAATTCCCCCTTTTATCTGTCATTTTCTTTATACTGTCAGAATCTAAATAATCAGTGGATATTAAACACGTATGTGATAAGCTCATCACTAGGCTGGGTTTCATTATGTGCTATTTTCTTGATCTATACATTATATTGAGTATTGCACCTAGCAGTAAAGACAAAAATGTTTAGCACAAGTTTACCTGTCATTCCGAAAGATCTTTGGTAGGTACCTTCTGGGGAACCACATGGCCAGAGCACACATCAGAACCCAAAGGATTGCAAGTTCATCAAGCATCTGACCCAGGAAACTCAGAGTCGCGTGGAAGTAGACAGATCCAATTCCTAGAATCAATTACAACCAACAGAAAGGGTCACCAAAGAAGAAATTTACACATTCAACACACTGCTTAAGCTAGCCTTTTCACCAACCACCTGTCGCAATCACCAGATCGCTCTTTCTCTTTGAAAAAAGAAAGTGAAAGAAGAAACTCACACCACCTAGTCATGCAGACTTCAAGTCTAGAAAGAGGATTTCAAGTAAGGCCTCCTATCAGCCCATCAGAATTTTAATGATTCCATAGTTGAGCACATTCTGTCTTCATCCACTAGCCTTCATGGGAACAGGCAGTAAAGAGAAGTCAACATTCACTGTTAAGTGTTCCCAATCTGCCTGTGGAAGGAAATGGAAATTACCCAAGTATTTCCCAGAACAATGAAGGATCAAACTATTAGAATTACTTTTTTTTTAACCTTTTAGAAACCGGTCTCATCAGAGTTCAATTGTTTCACAAGACTTTCTTCAGAAGTCCTCGGAACTTGCAAATACAATTAAGTGAGCATGACACCTGACCTTGTTATCAAGCCCATTTGCAAAAAAAAAAAAAGAGTCCTTTTGGCATCAAGCAAGCAAAATAAAAGTTTGCTAAGACATCAGAGTGACTTTGGTTTATAAAACAAAATGTTCAAAGGAGAAAGGAAGTGTTGGAATTCCATTTCCTCCCTTTCTGTCCGTGCACCCAAAGGAATCCACTTACCCACTACAACTAAAAGAGTCCATATTAAGTAGATGCCACTGTTGAAGCAGGTTGCGTACTGACGAAACAAGCACATGCAGATGGGTGGTAAAATGAAAAACAAGACGTTGCTGATCTGGGGGGAAATGCAAAATGAAAAGATAAATATTAAGTAAAAGGGCAAAAACAAAGCAGCTTGTTCCAAGTGTGTCCTGTGCAAAGTGAGATGAATGTGGCCATCACCTCGCTGCAGCACTCACACTTCTTCCAGCAGACACACCGCCAGGAACAGGCAGCGTTTGAACAACGCGAGGGCCCCTCTGCAGCGCAGTCCGTGAAAGCTGCTCGGGCTCCCCCGGAGTCAAGGATCAGGGACGTGTTCTCTTTCCACACAGATAGACTAAGAAGCGTTCTGATTTACTTACACATACGTTTTTATTTTTATTTTTTAATTTATTTATTTTTTTGGTACGTGCCCCTAGCGGGAACTGAACCCAGGACTCTCTGGACCGCAGGCCGACGCTCCAACCACTGAGCCAAACTGGCCAGGGCTGCACATACATTTTTAAAGATAAGGTCTGTACTAAACGATGGTAAAAATAAAGCTTAATAAAGGTGAGAAGGACTCGATGAGTTGCGCCCCAGCAATGTGAGGGCCACCCTTTCCTCCCAGGCCCACACAGACGCAGGATTCTTCCCAGATTCCCCGTGTTGCCCTTGCTCACGTTCTCACCTTATACAAAACCTACTCTCAGGTGAAGATCACATTTGTGGGTTCTTTCCCAGCTTTAAAATGATACCATTTTATCTTTCAGACTTCAGTGTAGATTAAAGCCTCTCTCTATTATCTCTCCAGAAGGCATTTGGCTTTTTAAAAAACATATTCTAGCCCTGGCCAGTTGGCTCAGCGGTCAGAGCATTGGCCCTCGGACCAAAGGGTCGTGAGTTCAATTGCCAGTCAAGGGCATGAACCTCAATTGCAGATTTGTTCCCAGGCCCCAATGGGGGTCATATGGGAGGTAGCCAATGGATGTATCTCTCTCACATCAATGTTTCTCTCTCTCTCTCTCTCTCTCTCTCTCTTTTTCTCTCTCTCTCCCTTCTTCCCTTCCACTCAATTAAAAATCAATGGAGCCCAGTGGGTGTGGCTCACTGGTTGAGCATCTATCCATGCACCAAGAGTTCGCCGGTTCGATTCCTGGGCAGAGCACATGCCCGGGTTGTGGGCCCGATCCCCAGTGGGGGGCATGCAGGAGGCGGCCAATCAATGTTCTCTCTCATCGATGTTTCTATCTCTCTCTCCCTCTCCCTTCCTCTCTTTCTAAAATCAATAAAGAAAAACAATTTTTTTTTAATCAATGAAAAAATATCCTTGAGTGAGGATTAACAACAAAAAAGTTCACAAAACATGAAATTAACCATTTTAAAGTATATAATTCATTGGCATTTAATACATTCATAATGTGCAACCATCACCTCTATCTAGTTCTAAAACGTTTTCATCACCCAAAAGGATTCCCTGTGCCCATTGAATAGTAGCTCCCCAGTCCCTCCACCCCCAGCCCTTGACAAGCACTAATCTGTTTCTGTCTTCATGAATTGATCTATTCTTGATATTTCATAAAAGTGGAATCATGCAATATGACCTTTGATTTATGGCTTCTTTCACTTAGCATAATAATTTTGAGTTTACCCACATTATTGCGAATATCAGTACTTTTTTTTTTATGGCTGAATAATATTCCATGGTATGGATACTATGTTTTGTTTATCCATTCATGCATCAACAGACTGTTGTGAATGGTGCTGCCATGAACATTCGTGTACAAGTTTTTGAGTACTTGTTTTCAATTCTTTGGGGTATACAGTTGGCATTGCTATGTCATATTGAGGCAGGTTAGCGAGAAGCTAGAAAATCCCTTGACAAGTGGAATGAAGAAACTGAGACAAATGGTTGAACAAACGGCCGAGCAATTAGCAGGCCAGCTAATTGAATCACAAAACCGTATCTTACCTAACTAAAGACACCTCGGAACAGAGAGTTTAAGTCTATCCTCCCCATCCAAAGAGTGGGTGACTTAAATCACCCTAATCAGGGAGACAGATACCAGAGACCCAATTAGTGCCAGACTAACCCAAGAATGGATGAAGTCGGGGGACTAGATAACAAACAAACAAACCAAAAAATAAAATAAAAATAAAAAAATTAGAGCCAGACAAATCCAAGACAAAGGTAAAACTGACCAGAGAATGATCCCAGACCCCACTATATGCTCATTTTGATGCATCAACATATCAAAGGACACACCTGAAAAGCTTATGAATATTCTGTTGAGACCTCCCCTAAAATTCCCACCTTTAGAAAACAGATTAGGGAGAAAACAGATTAGAAACCCTAAGACAAAGGACCCAGTGTGCAGTCTTTCCCCAAGCACACCTGCACACCACTTTCCTCAAACACATACTTTTACCTTTCTTTTTTTTATCCTCACCCGAGGACATTTTTTTGTTCAGATAGAGTGGGAGAGGAAGAGAGAGACAGAGAGAAACATCAACGTGAAAGGGACACATCGAGTGGTTGCCACCCACACGACCCAACCAGGGCCGGGGATAAACTGCAACCAAGGTACGAACCCGGGTCTCTCGGGACCGCAGGCCGACGCTCTAACCGCTGAACCAAACCGGCCAGAGCCATGCTTTTACTTTTCTTTCTCCTAAACTCTAAGGGTTCCAGTGAGTCTTGCAACTAGGGGAGCAGTCGGCAGCAGCTCGTCCCAGGCTAATCCCCTGATCCTGTCACTGTGACTTTTCTCTGAGCCGGTGATGCCCTGCCTTGGCTCAATCCTGTTCCTGTGACTTTGCTTCCACTATCCTAAGTTCTTTTTGTTCTCACTGTCCCAAGCTTTAATAAAATTACTCACATAATGACCTGGACTCTTGTCTTGAAATCTTTCCTGCACGAAGTCAAGAACCTACACATCCCAAAATGTGCTAGCTAGGGCAGACCTGTTTCAGCCTGGCCCGTTTTCAGTGACAATATGGCAATTCTATGTTTAACTTACTGAGAAACCACCAAACTCTTTTCTGCAGTGGCTTAGCCATCTACAGTCCTACAAGAAATGTACAAGGTTCTAATTTTCACTTCCTTGCCAACACTTATTTTCTGAGGGTTGTTTTGTTTCGTCTTATGAAGGCCATCCCAGTAGGTATGAAGTGCTAGGGATATTCAGCTTTTGAAGTGTCATCTCTAAGTGCAGAGTGAGGGGCTCCTCATAAAGGACTATGCACACAACCCTGGCTAGTTTGGCTCAGTAGTTAGAGCATTGGCCCACAGACCAAAGAATCAAGGTCAAGGGCACGTACCTGGGTTGCGGTTTGGTCCTGGGCCCTGGTCGGAGTTGAGTGGGAGGCAACCAGTCAATGTGTCTCTCACACATCAATGTCTGTCTGTCTGTCTGTCTGTCTCTCTCTCTCTCTCTCTCTCTCTGTCTCCACCCCCCCCCCACTCTATCTGAAGATAAATGGAAAAATATCCTTGGGTGAGTGTTAAAAAAAAAAAGGACTATGCACACAGAAGTGTGCAGAAGGTGAAGCCAACAGCTAAGTCTATATGTTTGTTTGTTTTTATTGATTTTTTTAGAGAGAAGAAGGGAGAGGAAGAGATAGAAACATCAAGAAACCTTGATGTGCTGCCTCCCACATGCTTCCCCCTCCCCCCACTAGGGATCGAGCCCACAACCTGGGCACGTGTCCAGACCAGGAATCAAACGAGTGACCTCTTGATGCACGAGATGATGCTCAACCAGCTGAGCCACACCGGCCAGTACTGCAATTTTCTTTTTTCATTCAACATGCCTTACAAACCTTTTCATCTTGGTTCATACAGATTTATCTCACTTGCTATAAGTGCTGTAGATGGCAGGACTTTTTCTTAGCCATTCCCCAGTGGAAGGACACCAATTTACAGCCCCACCTACAATGTTAGAAACTATAACACATTTGTTTTTTACCCCAGTATATCTTTATTGCCTCAAGTCCTCTCAATCTCTCTTGCTTCAGCCAAGTGTAGCTAACTGCTGCCAAGCTGCCCCCAAATGGCTCTGTGGATTTATATTACCACTAGCAAAGTACACATGAATCACTTTTTTTTTCTTTATTGATTTTAGAGAGGGTAAGGGAGAGTGAGAGAGAAACAGAAACACTGATGAGAGAGAACATCGATTGGCCGCCTCCTGCACGCCCCCCACTGGGGATCGGGCCCACAACCTGGGCATGTGCCCTGACCGGGAATGGAACCTGTGACCTCCTGGTGCATGGGTCAACGCTCAACCACTGAGCTACATCAGTCAGGCACACGAATCACTTTAAAATGTGAGTACACAGTATTCACGAAAGCATGAGGTTGTTTATTATATCTGTAGCAAAATTATGATACTTCAAAACATTTTTTAAAGCATGTATTAGGGAGTTCAATATAGAAGCAACATTTAATCAGATGCTCCCAAATTACATGAAATCACATTATTACTTCTGCACAGCCCATCTATTCACCTCTGCTGGCCTCCACCAGGCCTTTTAAACAAGTCAGTCTACGAAAAGGAAAAGATCAAATTAGAGGGAGACCCTCCCCCAGACAAAAAGAGGAAGGAACTCCCAAAGAAATATGGAAAAGCAAATGAGTCGTGGTTAAAAGACAGACCCGCCCTGGCCAGTTTGGCTCAGCGGTTAGAGCGTCGGCCTGTGGTCCTGAGAGACCCGGGTTCAGTTCCCGCTAAGGGCACGTACTTCGGTTACAGTTTGTCCCCGGCCCTGGTTGGTCGTGCGGGTGGCAGCCACTCGATGTGTCCCTTCACGTCGATGTTTCTCTCTCTCTCTCCCTCCCACTCTATCTGTACAAAAAATGGAAAAATATCCTCGGGTGAGGATTAAAAAAAAAAAAAAAAGACAGACCCAATGGCTCCATATCTCCTGAGAAATGAAACTCCCCCTCAAAATCATGTGGGTCACTCAAGTTGAAGAACAGTTCAGCCAAAGGGTATTTTTTAAAGCCTATTGTTGGATTTTCCTTTCAAGAACTGGATTATTGAATGCCTGCAGAACAGATTGTTTTAATCAAAAGGGCACCACTATTCTTAAATGTTTATTTTCTTAGAAAGTTCCTCATTCTATAAATTCCCAGGTAACATTTGCACCAAAGTAATCTCATGAACTCTGCAATCTCATCCTGATGCAGGTGAATGTGCACTGTCCCAGCAGAGGGTAGGTACCGATGAGGCAGTAGGCTGTGAGAGTTTCCCAGCAGCAAGTTCATAAACAGGTAAGGGCCATTCCCCTGGCTAAGAAAAGTATCTGTGTATCTCATCATATGCATATTCCTAACGATCCGTCCCATTGTTCCCCTCCTGTTCTGAGATGACTAACTGTCCTGGTTGGCCTGGGACTGAGGAGGGTTGCCAGGACATGAAACTTTCACTTTTAAAATCAAAGTCCAATTTTGTCCTTGAAAACCAGGACAAGTTGTTCACTCTACACAGAAGTCTTCATGCAAGAGTCCACCTCCCACAGTGCACCAACCCCAAGCAGAGTTCTAATGGCATCTGGGTGACTTGTACAAACCTTTCCTATGGCCCTCACCCCCCACATGGCTCTGGATCTGGTCTCTGTGATAGGCACACAGCTGTTGCCCAGTAAATGCATGGATGGATGGATAATTATGTCCTACAGATAATGGGATGTGAGCCTTGACATATAAAGAGAACTCAACTTTCCTCATCTTGATGGTTGGGGCAGAGCTGATGTGGGGACAGAGCATGGGCTGATTTTATGCATGTTTTGCTTCAAGACTTTTTTCAGCACCAGTTGATTTCCTTCTGTCCCACTGAGTCAATGCCCAGCATCAGAGTCCTCAAAGGCTAAGCCCAGTGATTACAAGGAAGACCCCACTTTTCTCTAAAGCAGCTAGGTCTAGAGTTTTTCTCTTTAGTGTGGGTAGGGCCTTCCTTAAAACTAAAAACAAAAAGAAACTCAATTCAATAAAACTTGTATTTAGCAGCAATAGTACAAAATGTGTTCAAGCAAAGGGCTGCGTTCTTGGAAGAGATATTTGGGCTTGGCTGAAGCAAAGGATGATAAGATTTGGGGCAATAGAGATTTGCAGGGCCCAAAAACAAAATGTCTTCTTGGAAAGAGATAGTTGAGTTGGGCCAAAGCAAAGGATGGTAAGATTTGGGGCAAGATGGGAGGGAGAGCTAGGGGAATGGGTGAAAAAGGTGAAGGGATTAAGTACAAATTGGGCCGTGGACAGTTTAGCTCAGAGGTAGAGCGTTGGCCTGTGGACCAATGAGTTGAGGGTTCGATTTCAGCCAAGGGCACGTACCTCGGTTGCAGTTTGTCCCCGGCCCTGGTTGGTCATGCGGGTGGCAGTCACTCGATGTGTTCCTTTCACGTCGATGCTTCTCTCTCTGTTCCTCTCTCTCCCTCCCACTCTACCTGAACAAAAAATGGAAAAATGTCCTCGGGTGAGGATAAAAATAAATAAATGAATAAATAATTAAAAAATTAAAAAAAAAAAAAAGAAGTACAAATTGGGCCATGGACAGTTTGGCTCAGAGGTAGAGCGTTGGCCTGTGGACCAATGAGTTGAGGGTTCGATTTCAGCCAAGGGCACGTACCTCAGTTGCAGTTCATGGGCAGGGTTGTGCAGGAGGCAACCAGTCGATGTGTCCCTCTCACATTGATATCTCTCTCCCTTTCTCTCCCTCCCACTCTATCTAAAGATAAATAGAAAAATGTCCTCAGGTGAGGATATACCAGAATAAAGAAGTACTAATTAGTTGTTACAGGATAGTCATGAGGATGTAAAGTACAGCATAGGGGATATAGTCAATAATATTCCAATAAAATTCTAATATTCAATAATATTCTAATGTATGGTGTCAGATGGGTGCAAGATTTATTGGGATGATCACTTAGTAAGTTATAAATGTCTAATCACTGGGGTGTACACTTGAAACTAATATAATAATGTATGTCAACTATAATTGGAAATAAAAATAATTTTTAAACAATAGGGATTTGCAGAGCCCCAACACAAAATGCTTTGTACATTCAAACATTGTCAGTGGGAGCATAAATCTGTTTCGTGGTCCATTTAGCAATTATTATCAGCCTTGAAATTGAATATTCCCCTTGACACAGCAATTCCCCACCTAGGATTAGCACTTACAAAATACATTCAGGTGCGTATATGAGGATATTCATTGCATCACTGTTCAGAAACCAAAATGAAAACAATAAAACAAACAGAACTGCCCTAAATAAGGAATTGACTGGATAAATAAATCATGGCCAGTCCATTAAATAGAATACTGTGTAGACATCGTAAAGAGGAAGATAACTCTGTAAGAACCAATATGGGACTATCCCCAAGACACAGTAAGTGAAAAAACCAAGGTGCAGAAGAGTTTATGTAGTAGTACCTCAATTGAGTTGAAAATAAACTTAGATTGGGTTGTGTGTACACTATACATATATATTTTATAGCTCACACAAATAATACAAGTGCTTTTTATATGCCTAGAAAATGTCTGAAAAGATACAGAAGAAAAGGTATTTTTCACTTTATAACATGAATATTCTGAATTTTTTACCATAATCACGTATTACTGTACAATAAACAAATTCAATAACCTACTTTAAAGAAACTTTTCTTTTTATATCATACATCACAATTAGCCTACAGATCAAATTGTCCCAAGGCAGGAGTTTAAGTTAAAGAACAACTGAATGATAAATACGTGTATTATGCCACCTAAATAAATCTAAGGTGCTACAATGGCACTTGTATCTTCATGAGTAGTATCTTAGTAGAGTCAGATGGACCAAGTCCTAACTCTAGCTCTGCCATTTTCTTGACCTCAGCAAGCTGCATAGTCTAACTTGGCCCCAGTTTCTGCCTTTATCAAATGGGCATAGTAAATAGCACCCACTGCCTACGGTGACCCTGAGAACTCCCATACCCAGCAAACAAGTAATGGTAGCCAGCAGCAGTAATTGAAGTTGTAGTGATGTGCTACCCCAAAGACTCATTAAGAAGGTACTGGATCCCTCTCCCAGGATTCTGATGTTACATCTTCAATTCCTTAAACTTCTTGAAATTAGTAATAATTATTATTTTCTTATATAATGGATAATTAGACCTGCTGCCTTACAATGAGAATTTAATGAGATGTTAATCGCCAAGTAATAGGTCACTGTCTTCCTCAATAAAGGAGTGACAGGTTTGTCCTGACATATAAGCATGGGAACAGAGAAGAGGCTTTGGTTTTTGCTAAACTCTTTGGACCTACACTCAACAAAGTCTGGTGACCAACCACTTCTCTGAGACCTTAAGCTCTCTACTTTGCTAAAGCAAGTTTTACAGTTTACAAGTATACCATAGAATAAGGTCTGTCAAGCAGACCAGCTGGGCTAATCAGCCACAGACACCACAGCTAAAGATCAACAGTTTGTTTCCAAAAAAAGATTTTGGCACTCTCGACATAACTGCTCCAATGGAGCTAGATTAACAGTAAAGACAAAATTAATTCTCCCCCTCATCCAGCACTCCGGGGCTTTTCAAGGCAAGCTCAGAGCAGTTATGCACTTTTCGGCAAGATAACCAGGCTGGACTTTCTGCTGGCCTCAGATTCCACAGACAATTACTTTGCAGAGTATGAGAACCTGTCCCCAAGTTGCCACTTCTTTAACGTTGGTGAAAGTACCCAGCCTCGCTCCAGCCGGTCCTCTGTGGGCACCCATCTACACCTGATAGTATGCGCTGAAAAAGTTGTACAATAGATGAGGTGTAGCCACTTCCAATAACTGTATCTACGAAGAGCAGAAGACCAGGTTTTCCTGAGGAACTAACCTGGGCATATAAAAGAAGCAGAAATGTGTGTATAAAGGTCAGCCATGGATTCAGCAATACGAGGGGGGAGAGCGCAGACTTCTGAATTGTGGCCCAGCATCGCCAGAAATGAGAGCATGACAGCTCCCTTCTCAAGAGCTCAGTTTCCTCAAAGACTAGGACAGGGACCGGTTCAGCAGAGATCCCTCCAGGCAATAAGCATCTGACTGATGCCAACACTCCCTCCAGCAAATCTAAGGTGAAAACCCTTAAGAACAACCTCAAATTCACAATGAACCTTAAACCAGGAGGTCCTGTTTTCCCTGTTGTGAAAAGATAAGTTACAGAAATGACCGTGCAAAGTCTTACCTTTGGTACAAGAATCCTGATATAAGGGCACAGTGAAAAGAAGAGATATTTCCCCCCAGGTGCTAACTTTCCCTCCCACAGACTAAAAGCACACAGGATTCTGCGGTGGGGAAGTTTCCTCTCTAGAGACCTCCCAAGTCCAGAAAACATGTACACAATCACTCCCGAATGTCCCTTCCACTCCCCAGGCTTAATAACTGGAGAGTGCACAGGCCTGGAGGAGTTGAATTTGGAGCTGGAATTAGACTAGGTACTAAGTAAGGCAAGGAAATAAGAACTAATCGTAGTAATTAACTCGATTCTGGCCAAAAGTAACTCGGCCTGTTATTGATGTGTTCGTGGGGTAGTGCAGTGAGCATGTTGTAGTGGCCCAGCTCCTGAGACCTGCCAGGGTGTCGCCCCTTTTTCTGGGACTCCTAGAGCAGGTATTCAGAGCAAAAACGCACAATGCGACCCAAGTGAGTTACGCCATTGCGATCCTAGAGGAGGAAGGGAGTTGTCCTGGCAGGTTCACGACCCACAATGGACCTGACTGGAGATGGGCTGACACGGATCACTGGCTCCAGGACTGGAAGGGACCAAACAACACAAAGGAGCCATCAGAAATGATTAGGAGAGGGAGCTGAGCCCAGAAGACGGGGGAAGGGTCAGGAGAGTGGGACAGATGGAGAACTGGACAGAGATCGCAGGGGAGGGGGCGTGGGTCGACACTAGCCCTGGAGAGAGAATGCCCCAGATACGCGGAGAGAGCCACGTCCAGGTGCCAGGCACTGCGGCGCTTGGGGCCAGCCTCCTCCCGCCAGCCCGCTCGCCAGCCCCACTCCCGCACCGCGCACCGTGTTGTAGAACTCGGCGATGGCAGGCACGATGGTGTAGTTGTCCTCGCACCAGTCCACCTCCGAACTGCCAGCCTGCAGCTGATCCCACCAGTGCGGGGCGCTCATGGCCGCTCTGGGGCATTGGAGCAGCTGCTCCTGCAGCCGAGAAGAAGCCAGAGCTGCTGCAACACGCCTGCAGCGGCGGCGGCGACGCGGTGGCTTTATACACAACGGAGCAGCCGCCGGATGTGGCGGCTCCTGGGCCGGCCTCCCAGCGCTTCGCTCCTGTTGGACTTGACTCTCTCGGAGACCCCGCCCCCGTCCCCGCCCCCCGAGGGAGCCCGAGGACTGCGAGCCGACCACGCCCACGCCAGGGACGGGATGTGCGTAGGAGGGGGCGTAGGGCGGCGGAACCCGGCCTGGAAGTTTGCAGGCGTCCTTACTCCCTGCAGGTGTCAAGGGCTTCGCCTGTCCTTACCCGGCCCACCTCCAGGCTCAGGTTCGCAGGCGCCTCTTCCACCCCACCCCAACCCCAATTGTGCAAAGAGCGCCGGAGCTCGCCCTGGCAAAAATTAAGTATAAGGAAACCCAGGAGTGGAGTATCCAGACCACTGCGGAGTCTTGGGGAGTTTGCACCAATTTCCCTGCTCAGCGCATGGGCGCCCGAGCTTACACCTGAGAAAGGCCCTGGATTCCTCCCAGGCAGGTAAGGACTGGCTTGGTACCGTGGACTACACCAGGAAGACCTGAGGGCTGGAGTGGCAGACTCTGCCGCCCACTCCCCGATAGAGCACTAATGCAATTTTGAATATGTTCCTAGCCTCGGTCCCGTGGGTTAGGCTTTAATCTAGTTTAACAGTAGACATTGGAGTCAAAGGTCAGCCATACCAACCCGCAAAGCATGTAGTGTGGCAGGTCTGACATCTCCAGAACATCCAAGGAACAAGAAATGATGACATACACCTAGCTCTTTCTATGTGCCAGGCGCTGTTTGAAGAGCTTCCATGTATCGCTCACTTGGCGCTCCCAGCCGGGATCCTATGAAGTGGGTCTATGGGCAATACCATTCCTGATACTAAGTAGCAGAGCTACAAATCAAAGTCAGGATGATCTCAGACCTGCCCATAAGTACTTTGCTTTGCAGCTGTGACTATTCTGCTGTTTTGAAATCAAAGCTAATCTGGTCTCAGCAATTCCTGGAGAAAGTCAGTCTCTCTCTCTCTCTAATTTTTTTTTTTTTTTTTTTTTTTTTTTTTTTTTGCTCTTGAACTCATTCCTTGGGCAGTTTTAGGATTTTAGGTCAGGACAGTGGCAGTAGCAGAAGAGGCCCGGTCAGCAATCGATGGTGGCTTCACCAGGATCTCCTTGCTCAACCCTGCATGGTACCCTGTACAGTGTAGGTGAGACCTGCAGCTGTCCTGTACAGTGGGAACCTGGCTGGTGCTCCAATGCCCTGTGTACCTAGTGTCCATCTTCTACAGCCATTTGCATGTCTTCCCAAATCTCCATCACTGGCAAGAACTGCAAGCCCCAGCTCCCCACCTAGTCTCCAGGAAACCCAGCTTTCTCCCCTGAGTTCAAAAACACACTCCTTTCATCTTTGTCCCAACCTCTATCCAGTCCTCCCCCTCAACAGCCTTCTCCTAAGGCCAGAACCCCCCAGAACTGCAGGATGCCCAGTGTCTGAGTGCTACACCAAGTGTTCAACAATAGTTTTTCATGTTGTCAAGATTTTGCTAACATTTTAGATAGAAATATACCCATATTCATTAACCCTAATAGTGTAAAACATCACTATTTTGTATGCCAGTGGCTCCCAAAGTGAGGTTCCCCTTTCAGGGGATCACAAGGTTAAAACTCTTTTCCTATTAACACTATGACATTATCTGCTCTGTTTGCTCTCATTCTCTCACCAGGATACATTGATTGGAGTTTTCCAGAGACTGTGTGTCATCTCTCTGACAGCAAATGGAATGTGTGATTGTGTATTCTTCTGTATTCAAAGTCTTTTTAAATTTCTAATATCATAAATATTGATAGATAGTACCACATAAACAAAAGTTCTTTATGGTCATCAATAAATAAAAGGCATCCTCAGATCAAAAAGGTTGAGAGCTGCTGTTAAAAAGATACTCCCAATTAAACTATTTGTAATGCTTTTTTTTTTATCATTTAGAATGAGCTTTTAGACTTAGACATTCATTGTTATCATACATCATTCTTGTGTAAACATAAAAAAGGAAAATATAAGCAAAATAAATTAAGGAATTGCTATCATTTCTTCACACTCAGAATCTGTTATTCTGAATCATTTTCGACTCAGTCATTGGTGTCCTTAATTACCAGGTGCTGGTGGTGCAGCATTTCTTAAGACTGACACCTACTGTACACGTTTTGATGATGGCATATTCTTGACAGTGGAAGGTTTTCAGACAACAGGTAGCATGTTTCTTTTCCATATGGTGCTCATGTGATCTGCTGACAGAAACATGGAGATTACAGTTGCCAAGTCATCCCACCAGGAATTACCACTGAGTTTGTACATGTTCAGGCAGTGACAACACATCTCAACCTCCATCTGGCCAACCATGATTATAAAAAGCCTTTCATTGTAAGATGTGTCTGGACTTCAGTGATGTTACAATGCAAAATGTGAATTTGGCATCAGTGAAATACAGAATTCACTGGAGAGAATTCGCCCTTCTCTCCAAGTCCTGCTAGAAGAACGCTAGGGAGTTTTTCTTCTACACAGGAACTCTTATTGTCAATGACCATTCTGTTTCAAAATAAAAAACAACACTTGGGTTCCAATTACAACTGCACAGAGAGCGTTCAAAGGCCATTCATTGGTGAGTAAAGAACACAAGTTTCATTCCTCTAAAGACACCTGTGTTGGTCTTGCAACTATTTTTAAATGTTTCTGCTATTTTTGACTCACTCCATTATTAACCTTTTTTAACTTAGTAATTTAACATTAGGACCTATCTTTGGGTAATTACTTTTTTAATTGATTTATATTAATAGTATAATGTCTTAGTGACTACTGTTAGTGGTTTAATACAAAATAGGATATCTGGTGTAGACAGAGTTTGGGGAGATGGAGGCGGGGGCTGGGGGACAGGAGGGAACAGGGCTGACAGCGAGTTTGCTTGTGGTGCTTTGAGTCTAAATATGAGTCAGTGCCACTGATCCCTGAGACAGCAGGTTTTGGAGAAACACCCTTGCAGGGAATTCAGGATGCCAGCATCTTGTTTTAACAGAGTTTATATCAATATTTATTTGGTATAAGTAAATATCTTATGATAAATAACCAGTTCAACTGGTTCCACAAGTGGAAATCATCAAAGCACAAAGCTCCTTAGGAAAAAAATGCGAGCACGTGTGCAAGTGAATCAAGGTGAAGCAGCATCCACATCAACTAGGAACTTGTTAGAAATGCAAATTATGAGGTCCATACCCCAGACCTATTAAATCAGGAACTCTGGGGGTGGCATTTAACAGTCTCTGGCTTAAAAAGCCCCCCAGGTCATTCTGAGCCACACTCAAGTTTGAGAACCACCGTTTTACTCAATGTGTGGGGGCAGAAATTCACCGTGGACTGGACATTTTGCTTCGCTGGAAAATCAAATCCAAGCCAAGACTACTGATGCATCAAGGAAAAGAGGAAGTCATCCTTTCATTGGGCTTATCACCAGGAAACCAGGGGCTCAGGGCTCAGGGGCTGGCCTGCCTCTTCAGCAAAGAAGAAATAGAAGAAGTAAGGTTTTGTTTTGTTTGTTTTTGCTTTTTTTTATTCAATTGTTGAAAGTATTACAATTGTCCCCCCTTTTCCCCCATTCCCACCCCCTCCTGCTTTCCCCATCCTAATGCCTGTGTCCATTGGTTGTGCATATATGCATATCAGTTCTGTGGTTTATCTCTTCCCACCCCCCCCCCACCCCCCATCCCCCTGAGGTTTGTCAGTCTGTTCTATGACTCTAGATCTATTTTGGTCGACAGCTTATTTTGTTCATGATGTTTCCTAAATAAGTGAGATCATGTGGTACTTGTTTTTCTCTGACTGGCTTATTTCACTCCGCATAATACTCTCCAGGTCCCTCCATGTCATCTCAAAGGGTGAGAGATCTTTCTTTCTTACCGCTGCATAGTACTCCATTGTGTACATGTACCACAGCTTTTTTATCCATTCGTCTACTGATGGGCACTTGGGCTGTTTCCAGATCTTAGCAATTGTAAATAGTGCTGCTAGGAACACAGGGGTACATATATTCTTTCTGATTGGTGTTTCAGGCTTCTTAGGGTATATTCCTAGAAGCGGGATCACTGGGTTAAATGGCAGTTCAATTTTTAATTTTTTGAGGAAACACCATCTTGCTTTCCACAGTGGCTGCACCAGTCTGCATTCCCACCAGCAGTGTGCTAGAGTCCCCTTTTCTCCACACCCTCGCCAGCACTTGTTTGAGGATTTGTTGATGGTGTTTTTTGTTTTTTAAATCTAAGACAAAGTCTCCAGGCCTAGAAGTGTGGGAGAGGGCTGTAGGAAGCGTGGCCTCACTAGGGAAACAGAACGACAACCCCTCCAAGAAGGTGGCCACATTTGCTGCTCGCTGCTTGTTTACTGACGAGCCATGAGGCCACTTCCTGCTGTTGGCACCAGGCTTGTCTTTAAAAGTGCCCTTCTCCTTTCTTTAACATGCGCTGGAAAACCACCAACAGTGTTAGAACTGGGTGTATGATAAAAGTAGGTTGATTCTGATTGGAAGTCTGAGGCTTTGCCTGTGCCTGAAGTGCATGGAATTTATTGATTTGTGTTTTGACTCCTGCTTCTGGATAGAGAAGGCATTTCTGTGATAGAATTGCAGCTGGCAAAGGTGTAAGAAATTTTGAGCACCTGCTCTGTGTAAGCCTCCACATTAAGTGTTGGGTCATATAAAGACAAAGTATTGTTCTTGGCCTCATGGAGCTGCACTTAGCAGAGGCACACAAACCATGAGAAGAGCACGTGATGATTGTTGCAGTGGAGGGACGTACACGGAACGTGGGAACGGCCGGGGGCCCCAGTGCCCTGGGAGCCAGGGAAAGCTCAGCAGAGGAGGTAGTGACAGGGCGCAGATGTGCAGCATGAACAGGATTCTACCAGACTGAGCACCGAGGGGAGGGAATTCTCCAGAAAGAACAGCATGTGCAAAAGATGGAGTTCAAAGAAAGGATAATAATTCAGGAAACTTCTGATACTATGTTTCAGCTGGAAAAGTGGCAGAAGAGGAGGCTGGATTAGAAGACAAGTAGATGATATGAAAAGAGGAGGAGTTCAGGAAGGAAACCTCGATGGCGGAAGAATAAAACACGTCAGAAACTACAGGTAAGGTCTTCCAGTAATCCATGTGAGGGATGATAGGGACGTGACTAAGGAATGCACTCATTCATTTTGGTATGATTACTGAGTCCTTGCTGTGTACCCAGACACTTTCTGGGTGCCAAGGATAAAACAGTGAGCAAAAGCGATGCCCTCATGGACCTTGCAGTCTCCAGGGGAAAAGTCAGACATTAAATATTGCATAAATAATTTACTACCGTTGTGCCACATGCCATGAAAAAGTACAGATACCGTGACACTGGAGAGCGGTGGGGGTGACCTTGTCTGAGACCATCAGGAAAGGCTTCCCAGGATTCTAAGCTGAAGGGCGGAGTTTAAGGCAGGGCTAAAGGGAATTGAAGTAAGAGATGTGATTGAGATATAAAATAGGAATCGTGATAGATTGTACTATTGAATCCAGATGTTTAAACACACTTTCCCAACCTACTGCCATGGGACTTGACCTGGTCATTGGCTGTGACCAATGGAGTGTGCACGGAGGTCCTTTGTGCCGTGGTTGAGCAGAGGCTTTGAAAGCGATTGCTGGTTCGGCCATTCTTCTTTCCCTCCACCACATCCCAACTGGGACTTTCTTCAGCCTGGATTCTGGAATGAAAACACATAATGCAGAGCAGAGCTGCAGTCAGCCCCCAGACAACTTACAATGTGAGCAAAAAATAAAACTTTGGATTGTTGTGAACCACTGAGATTTTTTTTTTTTTGGGGGGGGGGGGGTCCTTACTCCAGCATAACCTGAAGAAGGCTGACAAATACAGAAGGGGAATTAATAGAGGTTAACTACTGGTTAGGGGGAGACAGAAGAGTGGAAGAATAGAAGACAGCTTCAGACAGTTTAGCCTGAGTGATCCGAAGATGGCAAGTTACTAACCCAAAAGGGAAGACAGAGGGAAAATAGTGATCTTTGATCTGTTGAGTTTAAAAGGGTTGGCTGAACATCCAAGAAGGTATATTCTTTCAGTGACTGAAAAGGCAAGCCAGGACACCAAGGAAAGTCAGGATTAGAAAGATTTGTGAGTCACAACAATAAAGTGATGCTTGAAAACCCTGGGGAAATGAGCTTGCGAGGACTCAGTGGGGGGATGGAGGTGGGTGAAGGGCAGATCCTGGGTGTGACTACATGTACAGGAGCCCGAGTGACAAGAGGGCACCAGCCCTGGCAGGCACCAGCCGTCAGAGAGAAGAGGTCTTGCCAAAAACATAGCACCTAAACCGGATCAAAACCTTATCTCATCACCAATTCGCAGAAGCAAATCTGGTGATCTTGTTAAAAATGCAGATTCTGATTTAGTAGGTCTTGAGTGGAGTCCAAAATTCTGCACTTCTAACAAACTGCCCCCGGTGATGCAGATAATGCTGGTCCATGGGCCATATTTTAGTAGCAAGACTTTTTTTTTTTTTTAATGATTTTATTGATTTTTTTAGAGAGGAAAGGAGAGGGATAGAAACATCGATGTGAGAGACTAACATCCATTGGCTGCTTCCTGCACACCCCCTACTGGGGACCAAGCCTGAAACCCAGGCACATGCTCTGACTGGGAATCGAACCCGGACCTCTCAGTCCATGGAATGAGCTCAATCCACTGAGCCACACAGGCCTAGCATCAGTTTCTTAAAAGATGGGGCCCTGGCCAGTTTGGCTTAGCAGTTTTGAGCATTGGCCTGTGGTCCTGAGAGACCCAGGTCCAGTTCCCACTGCGGGCACGTACCTCGGTTGCAGTTTGTCCCCGGCCCTGGTTGGGTAGTGCGGGCGGCAGCCACTTGATGTGTCCCTTTCACGTCGATGTTTCTCTCTCTCCCTCTCACTCTATCTGAACAAAAAAATAGAAAAATGTCCTCGGGTGAGGATTAAAAAAAAAGAAAAGATGGGGAGGAAACCTATACATTTTCTATAGAGACATAATAACCAATTGCAATGTAGACACTTTGTTTAGCTCAAAATCAGAGTGTTAACAAATAATTTTTAGGACAATTGAACAAATGTAAACACTGAGTATGTGATGATATTGGGGAGTTTTTGTTGAGTAGGGGAGATGCTAATGATGGTATGATTGTTTTAAAACATGAGTCTTCAAAAGGCTATGATTTCATTTGTATGACATTCTGGGAAAGGTTAAAATGAAAGAATAGAAAATAGATCTGTGGTTCTGATATTGTAGGCACTTAGACATGAGCAGAGTCAGAACCACAGGCCAGGTGAAGGTCACCAGGGCAGAAAACCCTGGAGGCCTAGCAACAGGTAAAACAGGGAACACAGTACTGTAGGGGGGGTCTCGCGCTCAGGGTGACCTTTCCTCCCCTTGCATATCACTGGTTCTGCAGTTTAGACCCCTGACTTTTCATATCATTGATCATGCAGTTCAGACCCTCCCCTGACCTTTTGTCCCCTGGCATGTCAATAGTCATGTGGTAGACCCCCTAAGAAGAGGAACAAAGGGGCTAGAGAATAGCCTCATATGACCCCTTTGTACCATTCCCTTAAGCCTTAAGCCTTAAGCCTTAAGCCCTCAGGACAGTGAGTTTCTGACCCTCATCAAATAATCTTAGGAACAAAGCCTCCAGTCTGCTGACCAAAGAGCCAGAGTTTGGGTCAAACTAGTGATAACATCTGGGCCTCAGTTTTATTTCAGCTCTGGGCCCAGAAAAGCAGCAAGGCCAGGAGGGGTGATGCATGACATCTGGGCTGGCTGCAGTGGCTAATGACCCCCTACCCTGGTGCTGACCAATTAGTAGAGACCATGACCCTGAGGAGACACACCTGGAAAGCTGATGAATTTTTTATTGAGATCCCCCTCTGAGAACTCCCCTGGAATCCTCCCCTTTAGAGAAGCAGATAAAACACCTTAAGACAAAGGACCCAATGTGCTGCATATTATGTTTTTCTCTCTTTCTCTTTCTCTCTCTCTCTCTCTCTCTCTCTCTCTCTCTCTCTCTCTCTCCAGTGACTGTCCTTCCCCTTTTCTTCCCTCAAGCTCAAGGTCCATAACTTTGCTTGCTTTCTCCTAAGCTCCAAGGGCCCTTCTTTTGCCTCTCTAACTTGTTTCCTGTGTCCCTGCAGCCTAGTTGGCTCACTTCTTTAATGGCTCCTTCTACCTCTGTGACTTTCTAAATAAACCTTTGCTTGTATTTGAGTTCCTTGGCTCTGAATTTTCCTAGCCAAACTCAAGGACTGAGATCTAGAATTTGGTGCTGTTTTCTGTTAAGAGTTACATGGAGGTGGGAGAGGGAGTATTTTGAGGGGTGACACAACTGTTCTGTATCCTGATTGCAATGGTTATGTGACTAAATGAGCCTATAAAACCTCAGACCTGTACCTTAAGAAGGTACATTTTATGGTATGTAAAGTATAAACCTGACCAAAACCAAAAAATAAGCCATAAAGGAACCATTGTTGATCAGTGACACACACTGAAATATTTACAGACAAAATATATGAGATTTGCTTTGGAATAATAGGGGAGGGGTTGTTTTGGTGGTATAGGTGGAACGACGCTGCCCTTAACTGGGCAACCGTTGAAATGGGGTGGTAGACACACAATTAGTCTTTCTACTTCATATGTGTTTAAAAGTTTCCATAATAAAAAGTTTTTTTAAAAACGAAGGAAGCAGCCCTGGCCAGTTTGGTTCAGCGGTTGGAGCATCAGCCTGAGGACCAGAGAGTCTTGGGTTCAGTTCCTGCGAGGGGCACATAGCCAAAAAAAAAACAAAAACAAAAACAAAAATCTAAGGAAGCAAATGGATTCATTAAACAGGGTGTCCCCACAAGCACCCATGTAGCCAAGAATACCAGAAGGTAGGCTGGCTCAGCCAGTGCCCAGGACTCGGCCTTTAGGAGTGGAAACCCTTAACGCAGCAGTTCTGGTCGAACCTGTGGTTGTTACCTGTCCCCTTCATTCCAGAAGGCACAGGACTGATAGGGAGGTTCTCCTCATCTGAGGAAGTAAATGGCAAATGGTGTGAGAGGGCACCGTCCCGGGTCTCCGCATGAGAAGGCCCTTTCACCAAGGGAGGCTTTGGTAAACAAGATGACTATCAGCAGCCTGGGTGGCGTCCAGGTAGTGTTGTGGCCCCAGACTCTCTGGAACCAGGAAGCTAGAAAGGTCAGGGACTGGTCAGTGCCATGCCCCACAGTCCAGGGGGCCCCTTGGGGCTGGGCCCTGCGGTTCCTGAAGTGTGCCCTGGTATGTCTGAGACATCACTCCCAATGGAAGGGCTGTGTCACAGTGGCCTATAAACCTCATGCTTTCTCCACTCTGCCTTGTCTTTAGCCTCCCAGAGACCAAGAAACAACTTGGGGAAATGGAGGCAGGGAGATTCAGGAGGGAGGAGGCCAGGGTGGGGTAAACTGTGAGTAAAGGACAGATGAAATTTACTTGGTGGAAGAAGGGTTATGGGAAATTCCTTTAGTATAGGAGAGCCTTGAGAAAATTTATGCCTAAGGAAAAGGCACTCAGGCAGAGGAAAGATTTAAAATATAAAAGAAGCCCCGGCTGGTTTTGCTCAGTTGTTAGAGCATTGGCCCATGGACCAAAGAGTCACAGGTTTGATTCCAGTCAAGGGCATGTACCTTGGTTGTGGTTTGGTCCCTGGCCCTGGTTGGGGTCGTGATGTGTCTCTCTCACATCAGTGTCTCCCTTTCTCCAACCCCCTCCTTCCTTCCCTCCCACTGTATCGGAAAATAAATGGAAAAAATATCCTTAGTGAGGATTTTTTTTAAAAAAGGACTATGCACGCAGAAGAAGTGTGCAGAAGGTGAAGACAACGGCTATGTCTATGTGTTTATTAGTTTGTTTTCATTGATTTTTTTAGAGAAGAAGGGAGAGGGAGCAAGAGATAGAAACATCAAGAAATGTTGATCTGCCACCTCCCACACACCTCCCCCAAAAAGAAAAAAGGGGTAAAGATCCTGAAGGAGAGGAAAAGAAGTGGAATTGAAAACTCAGGATCTTACAGTTTTCTGGAGAAAAGGAATGGTATGGAATAGACACATTGTTTTGTCTGTTGCAACATCCTCTCTTTCTTGGGGGACCTTCTGCTGGTTCTTCCATTGCCCCCAGCTCCATTCAGGTGGCTACCTTAGGAAAAGCCGTGCTGATACACTGTGACCCGTCTTTGCGGCTAGAGCTCAGTGGTCCAAGAGTGGGTCTTGATCCAAGCTGGCTGATCGGAATGTATCGGTGGGAATTTAGAATCAGAACTGAGCTCTTCCACCTCCATCTGGCTGCCTTGTGGAACAGAGATGTGAACCTGGGCACTATCTGTGACCCGTTCTGCCAGAAGGATGGAGGAGCAGGCAGAACTGGTCAACAGTGCGAGGGAGTGTTGCAGCAGTCCCAGTGCGGGCTGCAAAGTCAGGAGATAGTCCAGCTGGAAAACCCCTGGCTCCAGCTCTGCCCAGGCCTCCAGCCACACGCAGATGTCCCCAAGATGCCTAGGTCCTTCAGAGTAGTCACATTTTTGGTTAAGCCAGTTTGAGTTGGGTTTCTGTGACTTAAAACCAAGTCCTAACAGAACTCTATGCTAAGAAAGGGAGATGTGGAGAGTAGATACGCACATCAAGACATGTTTTTAGAATGAGAGAAGGTTGAAGCAGTTTATATTTCTGAATGAAGTTGGAGAAAAAGTTGTCTACTGAAAGAGGCCTTGGA